GTACATGTAGTACATACATTCAAACCATTTTTATCTAAAAAATATTTGGCATCATGATTTAAAGACACAAACTGATACAGTGTAGTTTGTAAAGTTTTGCGAATCGCCATTATTATTAAAAAGCGTATGTATCTACATGTGGATATTACATGTATGAGTGAATGCTAGTTCAACTCCTTTTTCACTACTTTTTCCCCGTCGGTCATTTTTACACTGTTTATGCTAGAGGTATCAGTGCGTATTATACGGAAGTTATTAACAGAAATCGCTCTGTCACATTTCGCGGTGTTATTTTATAGTCTATATCAAACGCCGTGAATCTCGTTCTAATCCAATTACTATCGAATTGAAAACCGCAAGCTTTCATTAACTCTTGTATGAAGAAATTTGTTTTTCAATTTCCTATACAGAATTTAATTGAAACTGTGCTTGCTCAATTGCATTATCAAGTTTCAGTGCATTTTTGACATTCAAGTATATAAGTATACCGATCTATAAAACTGTGTGAAAATAATTAGGTCCACAAAGTTACCATGATAATAACTCAATGTTATCTTACTCTTTTTGTGTGTGTAAATTGCAGTACGCATACAATTATATCGAATATCTGGAGACGGGTTTGTTATCTCGTGTGGTTAGTAAAGATTTCTCTTGATATCAATGGAAACAGGATATGCTCGGATTTAAATTATATACCACATACACTTATATCTATTAAAGGTAAATGTATTTTCGCTGGAACTACAGACAGGTGAGTGGGCAATTACAGTTAGTCAATAACTTTTTACTCAAATGCAACATTTTAAAACGATTACTCTGCAAAGGTAAACAAAATTACACAACACGTAATGGATCCCACTGAAACTTATATCACTAGATATTATGTCAGTTAACATTAAAGTGTAATTTTGTGAAACAGAATTATCTCGTTGAACACGACGTAAATACCAGTGGCTATTGGCTTGGTTACAGAACGTTAGAACGTACACATGTATTGCTCATTGGAAGTGTAAATCCAAGACGACGGATATAAACTACATTTATTTTACAACAACTATGGAATAAGTTATAGCAACTTCTATTAATCACTCTTGTTGGGCTCGGAGAAAACGCACGTGGCTGGGCAAAAAGTGATGATCTACGTATACTGGATGCGTTTTTGTTGTGTCGTAACACAGAAACACAAATTACAAGGAAGACATCAATGGCGCATTGATCCCCGAGCATAGTCAACATTGTACATACACTGGACCAACAGGGAAAAACAAGCATAACCATTCACCTCATTGGGGTTGAGATATAACCCTATGGTACGACTCTTAACCCTTTCACCACTGTAGACCATAATGGACTCATCCATATCAATACATGTTAGAGTCTACTAAAGTTACATAGGGGTGAAAGGGTTCAAACATCAAATACTAAGCCGATAGTTTGACAACGTCCTATTAACAGCTAAGGTCATTTAAGGACGTGGCAACCGAAGGATCTTCCCTCTAGAGTTTGGATCCCTCATCGTACCCCAAAAGGGTAAAGGAATCTATTGAGTCCCAATGAGTGTTCCACAAGGGATGAGGAAGAAAGGATTTTAATTTCCTCGAATGCCCTTGTGTAGATACAAGGTGTAGCGGCTTGGACTACGTTTGTAACAGCTCCGTGCACTGTATATAAATAAATTTATATATATTTATATACCGAGCAATTGTTGAAATACGCTTTCATGGGTCAGTTTGGTAAATGTTAATGTGTTAAAACCTTATTCAAATACAAAATTATATCAAGTTTTTAAGCACTGAAAATGCTAAATTATCAGGTACGGGTACAAACTATTTGATATCCAAATCGACAAGGCAATATTCGCTCTCTGTGACGTCTATTAGGGCTCAATGTTCTCTAATGTACCGTTCACGTGTATTCAAGAATCACCCCGAGAACCTCTTTAAATAACCATCGAAGCAAGCATGACATCTCAATCGCCACGCCTTCACATATATCGTATACAAACTCCATAAAACGGTCATACAGATATTGTATACAACACCAAAAGGACGTAGCCAGATACACATATCCCTCGTGGGACAACCATACGAGATCAACAGATTCGCTGTTCTGTTTTTTTATCCCTAAAGTAGAGAATATTTTTTCCCGTGCCTAAAAAGAATGTCTTTCGGTTAAAATAGTACTTTGTATGCAAAACGCCAACACAACATTTTGCATGCATAATATGGCGTCACCTGATTGCTAAATGTTTCCATTTTAGGATGTGTTACCCAAGAGTAGGACAAGAGAATCTCCGCAGGAAGAAAATCCTCAATACAGATGTCTATGATAAAAAAACCACTAACCGACCACTCCTGTGAGCTGTAGACAGGGAAATTAAAACCCTAGGGCTAGGGCAAAATCTATTGCGATAGTCACAGTGGCAAGATTATCCAGCAGAATGTTGGCATTAATTCCTATGGGGACACGCTGTGCCTCTCTTATAACCGACTCGGTTTTGTCCAGACTGAATGTAATGAAGAGCTTGTCAGGACTGGTAACAAAATCCTCTCATTTTCAGATAAATCGATGATGTGTTATCCCTAAATGATAAGAAATTAATTGATCACGTCGACCGCATCTTTTCTCGTGAACCTGAAATATAGGACATTATAGAATATTTTTATCGAATTTGAGTTTGAAGTAAGGTTATTTTAACCCTTCGGTATTCCTGTGTTGTTTTCATTAAAGGCATTCGAAACATTTACAAAATAAATAAATTCCAAACATATCTGTGACAGTGTAATTAACAAGATTAACAAGTCGTCGTATTTATGCGCAGAGGTATAGGTTCACAATTTAAACTATGAAAGGAGTAATCACTTAAGCATTTAAAACATTTAATATTACTAAAACAATCAAATCTAGATAGACATAGAAAATGTCGGTACATATTGTAAATGTATAATATAACCATGCAACCAAATACTTGAAAAATCCCGAAGTATTGAGGTCCCCCCATCTTACCTGTTAGAAGGTGATTATTTTATTCTTACCCAATTGGTCTAGTGATGTAAATGTGTTAACATGAAGTTAATGCGTTGTTCACGTTGCGAAACAAAGTTATTATGGCTGGGAATTTCCTCGTCTTACATCAAATATTTTTATCGGGAAACGTAAGGGAACATCTATCGAAAATACGAGAAAAGTCTCTCTTGTTCTTCCTTTATATGGACAATTATCTCGCTCTTTCATTTGTAAAACGCCATTACGTTGTGATTTACGTTATCGTCAGCAATAGGTCATAGCTTAATGCAGCGTACATGTACAAAGATAAGTGTTAACCATATGCTAGAACAATCATTCTCAATATTTCATCTTCGGTATATTTCATTTTGGTCGTCGCTGTGTTTTTCACAAAACATCCTCCAAAATAGTTCACAACTATATACATGCATAGAACGCTCTCAGTTTGATATGCAGAAGCGTAAAGAGTCGAAAAGTCGAAATTTCTAATAGAAAAAATGCATTTTTTGGGAAATATTGCTGAAGATTGATCAACAAAACTCTGAATTCTTCAAAATCCACAATCCATAATAACATCAACATTTCATCATCCACGGCTTGTGGCCAATCTTCTTTGTGTGAGCCGAGTTGTACATGAGCGTCCAAATCTAAAATCATGCAATTCTTTATTTAATAGCTTGCTTTAGTATGTGCCATCTTTTTTTAGTTCCATATGATTCTTTATGATACTATATATAGCATGTTACAGACGTTGGGCGGATTGGGCGATATGGTCCGTTATCCTTCCTTGATTTCTTTTTTAAATATGGAGAAAATGTTGCAACCGATTGGTAGGTCGCCTTCAGTTCAGGGTTTTCGGCAGTTTTGGTTATTACTTGCGGACTGAAGTTGTCGAACCCCAGAACATTTTAGGGGTATATTTCTGACTCTACTTTGGTCATCTGTTATGATTAAATTAATGTCTTTCACAAAAGATACTAGCGAAACGCATGTCCATCGTGTGTGCGATTCTAGCCTCCGACGAGGCAAATTCTCCGAAGGTCTTCAGAATATTCGCAATGGAGGATACAGTTTCAGTTTTAAAGCCTACGTAATTACAAAATAGTTTTTGTTATTTTGTCAGTGCACTCGTCAAATGTAAAATTTCTCGTTCCTCTTGCGTTGTATTAAATATTGTCGACATCTTCCCGAGATCTCTGATCAATATGTTCTAATACCTTGATCAGGGATCATTACTTATGGGTTTGATTCACTAACTGTTTTTTGCAATTCCAATGCCTTGGCAACTTCAGAAAAGTTCTCCCATGTTGTACGTTTGTATATTTTTTTCATCTTATCATAGCTGCCTCGTCTTTTTTAAGATTATAGGAAATCCTGTATATGCCATAATGTCAAATGATTACACTTTGTAGCCATTTTTTCACATGATAAATGTAGGTGCACACTTAAAAGTATCGACTTTGCATTCCTCTTTGTGAAGACAAGGTCTAGTACTTAACGTATTGCATTGCATACAGTATCTACAGAGAGGAATAAGTTACTGGTGGATATTTTTGATATTGGATGACTATCATAAATGAATCCAGTCAACTTGAATATTAATGAAAGAGCCATCCAAATCAGTGTTGGTAAAAAAATGTCCTTAGTTGAAGAGCTTCTGCATACTCACTAAATTAAAAGTTGTAGTCTGGGTTACATGATCGTCCGTATATATTTGAGATTTCTACTTTGCTGCAGCTGATTCCATTTCTGATCAACTAATAACTATTTCAAATTTACTGAAAATACAAGCTTGCCAAGGGACTGTACCAGCTAGGGATTTCTGGTTTGCAAACTTGTCACTTGACAACATTTTCAATAAATTTGCAAGATTGCATTCTTTTAATCCAAGAATATTATAATGTGTATCTTATTTATTAGATGTCTAATAAATACTAAAAATACATCTGTACATATACCTGCCTCAACCACAAAATTAAAAGAACACAAACATTTTATTTTCCATGTTTAATTTTTCATTTCATTCATATATGGCAGACCTACACTCACTAACAATAGTCAAAAGCATCCAAAACACCTTACTCACACAGTATGACAGGTAAACATATGTCACTTCTTAAAAATTTACTAACACACATTTTTTTTTCTCTCAGTTAAATGTATCCACTCTGCCCTTTCATTACTTATACTCATTACACACATGACATTACATCAAACTCTCATACAAAGCAGCTATCATACTCTACCTCTAATAAGCTGAGTGAGGAGAGTGAAACAGATACATGTACTTCAGTATATTCACTTCATGTCCATTCCAAGCTTTTGAGTGATGTAACAGAACAAGGTCTACATTGACAAGTGATGGACTGACTGATTGACACTGATATACAGAAAAATTGACTGACTGATGGGATTGGAAACCCCCACCCCCCCACAGTCCCCTTTGGTAGTACCAGTGAAGGACTATCTAATTTAAGAAACGGTTATTGTAAGCACTAAAAGGAAGGGTAGCAGGAATAGCAGTAACACAGATTCTTTAGATTTGGACTAATTGTATTAAGCACTTTATATGCATATGCACCATCAATGGTATGCACAATGTAATATTCAGGACAACAAGAAATATCTGATGTTTGTATTATCAACATCTTTACACCACCAAGTCATCATGATCTGTACCTACACCTTCTCTTTGTGTGAGTCCTGTTTACTACAACGTAGATACCTCACAGTAATCTAAACTTACATTGATCAACAAACTTAAATTTCGAAATTGTTCTTGCTCCTTCAATACGTGGACCCTAGGATATAGTAGGCTCCACTTCAATGCTCCCTATCAAAGCGATAGCTTTCTTCCATCCAAAAAACACATGCTTGATACTCTCTCATAACACTGACTGTCGGAGGTCCTGTTATGTTTGCCGGCAGCCATCGTGCTGAGGTGTGGCTGTGCGAAGTTCCCTCCATACAGGTGGGAAGGCTCCTTGGAGGTGCTTTCCACATTTTTGACAAGGGGCGGAGAAAAGTGTCTTGTAGCTGTTAAACCATACCTGGAAAACAAATCCCACATTTAAGTACATACAAATCTTGCATATCTAGTGCTGTTTTAATATTAGCAGATGAATATGAGTGAATTTCACAGTCAGTATGGCTTCAATGTATAAAACTTTTAGTTTTCAAATTTTCCAAATCCTGAGATTTATCATGAACATTTATGTTGTGTATCTTGAGAATTTCCTGGGGTCAGTTTGTTGGAGAATGTTTTACAAATCTTTCGGAAATTATGAGGTCTTCAAAACCACTACATGTCATGATTTGTACCCAAATATTAGAGCCCAACCAATGCATTATCCTAACATAAAGAAGTCTGAACCAAAGTTCTCTTCCATACAGTTTGTATATGCAGCCATCATTTCTTACCAGGAAAGAGCGTAGACTGAGGTCAGGCATCTGGGGGTGACAGAAATGTAGGGTAGCAGCAGTTACCATGTCTGTTACCTGTAAAATCAGTAGATTATGTTTAGAAAATCACTTAAGGATTTGTCAGAAATACTACTGTACCACTTCTGTTTTACCTAATCTTGGGTTGCAAAACACTTTAACAATACTTCCTTTCCATCAGTTTTCAACTTGCTGGAAGATTTTCTCAAAATATATTTTCATAGTAAATGTACATATTAAAAATATTCACTAGCCCCTACATAAAATTCTACTAGCCCAGGTCTAACCTTCTTTTTGTATGGCTTGTTTAAAATATTAATGAATACACATTGTATGTTATCAATATAAAGGAAGGGAGACAACTGCCTTTACCTGCAAAATTAATTGAATTTTTTTTTGAGTGGCCATTTTTTATTTCAAAATACCAGAAAATGTGCAACTGGTCATGGCCACAAGATGATCTTTTGCACCAAACTAGATAAACATTTGCTAGTTAATCTAGTGGAGTCATATAGTATTCTGTCCCTGCTCTCTTACTTGTCTCTGCTCTTTTGCTCCTAGTGGCGCGACACCCTTCATTTACACAATTTTAAACCCTTACAGCTGGGATAACTTATACCTAATTAGGTTCAACTATCCTGGAATAGTATTTCGAAGAACCCCTCCCCTCCATTTGTATTCTGGGCCCCCAATACATCCATCTTTTCCCCATGCGGGCCCATCCCACCTCAGCATTTATACACTTTTAAATGTTCTTGGCCCAAGGATGCTCAATATCAAATATATTTGATTTATTTCATTGCTTTGGAAAGTCTGTGAAAAAGTGTGTTATATAGCTTACCTTATTGAAAACTTGATACCTTGAACGAGACCACAGATCTACCTAAAACACAAAACCGAATCTTACAGCACATATAATGAATGTATACCCTACCAAAACGTAAATATAGACTGCGAGTGTTACATACACAATGTCATTGTACAGAAAAAAATAGAAAAAGAATATACCACATGGAGAGCTGGGCTGACAACAAACAATTTCTGTCTCATTATATATGTAACAAAAGATGTACACTTAATTAGATTGTTGATATTTATCTTCATTCTTAGCAGTGTACAAAAATCCCAGCAAAGAAATTTGTCCATTTTTTCATCAAAATTAAAGCATATATACTGTTGAAATGAGCACAAACCATATTTCAAAGTTGGATATATTATGACTTAATGTGCAGATTTCTAGATATATTGTGAACAAGAGGCCCATGGGCCTTAACGGTCACCTGATATATTTATACAGAGAGTTGATTTTGTTTTTAACATGAACAGAATTATTATTCAAAGTGACAAAAAAACAATAAAACCACCTTATTCAATATCTAGCATACAGATTTAAGACTAAAAAGTATTTGAAACTAGCACCACTGATTCTAAACAAGAAAAATGAAGAAATTTTAGCACACTGACTCCTTTGGGCCCCACCCTACAGCCCTTGGGGGTAGGGCTGGCTCAAAATGTAATATTCAAAGTATCATTTGCCATTATAAACCATAATAAATTTTGCCGCCCCCCCGCCCCTCTCCCCTTCCTTCCCCAGGGTCTAAACATGAGACCCTAGGGTCATAAACCTTAAGACTAAGAGCCTTCAATCTATAGAGAGTGTTTGATTCTACCATATCTTGGTCTTGAGAAGATTTTTTTTGAAATTTCAGTCAATTCAACCCTTTTTGGCCCCACCCATCAGCCCCGGGGGGTCAGTCAGGGCTGATATGTGCATACTATCAAACTGCTATCTAATACTGATAAAGCTAACCTAAATTGAATTACTTCCAATGGAAATTAAACAAATGTTGGTCCAAAATGTGATTTCCCTATATAAACTATAGTAAAGTTTACCCCCTCCCCAGGGGAAAACGTGAGACCCCAGGGTCAAGAAAT